GTCGGGAGGTGGGGCAGCTGCTCAGACTGGAGCCCAGGCTGCCAGATGTCGGGAACCTGGGGAGAACTTGTCCCCATATCCCGACTGTACTGCCCCCAGCGGCCACAACGGGGCACCCGAGAGCTGCACCTGGCCCTACACGCAGCCCTGCCAGGGGCCCAAGGGCAGAGTCTCACCTGCCTGCTCCCTGCCTACTTTTCTGCTGGGGGGGAAGGGGCTGGTCACCTCCCTCAGGCACCTGGCCCCTCACCCAAGGGGTAAGCGGCTTACTGAGCTTTCTGTGGGGTCTCCAGGTTGGGGAAGGGCCAGAAGCTGGTGGGTTGAAGGGAGTCGGGGACAGGAGGACGTGGTACTTGCAGACTCTGTCAGGCTGAGCCCTTTTTGCAGATCCCAGGGCAGCTCCCAGGGGCTCAGAGCAGCACCTGTTCAGCAGGGTCCCTGGGCGCCTCCACGTCTCCCTCAGAACATGCACCTGTTCCCACTCACCACCCCCACCCCAGGTGCTCTAGATGACTGTGACTTCCAACGTCACATCAGGGTTACAGGCTGAGTTTTCACTCTCCCTCTGCCACCGGCACCCCCATCAACACTCCATCACCACCGTCGCCATCAGTGTCGCTACCACCCTCACCATCACCGTTGTGGTCATGTGTCACCTCCATCCCACAGCTGTAGATCTGAATCCTGGGCAGGTGACTCCGGCCGCTGCACCATAACCGCCCATGTCACACAGGTCCTCGTTCAGGTTGCCCAGGCAGGTGACGGTGGCAGTGGCGTAGGTTGGGCCTGGGTGCCGCATCCCCTGCCCATTCCCCAGCACCGTCCGTGGGCCACCTCACAGATAGGTAGTCGAGGCTCTCCGATGTGTGCTGAGGCACCTTCCGGGAGGGCCCCCGTGCCCCCAGAGCTGCTGTTTCTGGGCCAGGTGGGGCCAGGTCAGCCTGAAACGCGTTGTGTGTGGAAGGGAACCAGCCCCAAAACCAGGAAGCCCTCCTTCCAGGCCTGGGCGCAGGCCCAGGGTGAGCCGCAGGTCAGGGCCAAGGGACAAGCTTCTCCCTGGGCAGCCCCGGGCAGGAGCTGTGGCCACCGGCCCCGCCTGCCTGCCCTCCGTTCTCAGAGTCCCAGCCTCAGACAGGCTCCTGGGGGGCAGGGAGCATGAGGGCCTCAGGGAGCCTCCGCCGAGTCCCCAGACCGTCCTCTGGCCTCAGGGGTCCGTGGGGCTCAGGGCACGTCACAGCGAGCATGCAGCCCCGACACCGGGTCAGGCCTTATGACCTGGGGTGTAGGGAGAGCCTCGGGTGTCACTCACAGCTGCCACAGTCACAGGGAGTCTGTGGGCATCTGGCCAGCGTCATGTCCTGTTCTATTTTACTTTATTTTGTCACTTAATTTTATTTGTTTTCCTGTACTAGATTTTTTCACTGAGGTATAACCGACACGCAACAAGGAGCGCAAACCGTAGAGTTTCACCTGCAGGGTTTTCCATCCGCACTCACCCTGGCGGGCAGGGCGGCCCCTTCCCCACCTGGCTCCCGGGAGGCTCTTGTGGGCCCCGGCCCCGGTTCCAGGTGAAGGCACTCCAGGCCTGGCCTGTGCCCCAAGTCCAGGTGGACGGCCAGCTGGCACCCAGCAGAGAGGACTGTGGGGCTGGACGCACCCAAGAGCTTTCCGTCTCCCGGCCCCACCCCTCCCGTGGGGCCTGGCGGCAAGGACTGAGCCAAGTGGCAGGAAAGGAGGCACTTCCGCCCCAGGCACACAGCGTCCAGCTGTCCCGTCCCAGTGCACACAGTGAGGGCTCACCACGCTGGCCAGAGGCCAGGACATTCAGCCGAACCGGGTGGAGCTTCAGGTTCAAAGGCAGAAGCTGTAGGGCACAGGCAGCAGGGCCCCGTCACCCCGGGCCAGGCCCGCTAGCAGCACACGCTAGGGCCGGTCCCCAGGCTGACCTCCGACCCAGGCCCCTCCATGTCCAGGCAGGGCCACACAGTCCGTGGAGGTACAGGCCTCGGGGCGGGACAGGCCCGGTTTCCAGGGCCGACCCCCGGCCCAGGCCCCCTCCTGTCTGCACCTCTGTTTCTGCATCAGGAAGTTGAAGCTGTTCCCAGTCCCCCTGGATGTGGTGAGGGCCCATCAGGTGGAGGGCAGCCAGGGGCCTGAGCAAAGGCTGCATCTTGTCTGCACCCGGGGCCAGACCCAGGTCCAGGCCCCAGCAGGGGAAGGCCGCCCTCCCCGCCTCCCCTCTGCTCTGTTCTCGCTGGTCTGCCGGCCTGTCTGTCCAGGAGTCGCCCTTGGACCCGCTCTTCCTGCCCGTGGAGGAGCAGGCGGCAGGTGTGAATCAGCGAGCCACCGACCCACGCAGGACCGGGCACCCCAGCGCCTGCCGCCACGCGGCCGCATGCAGGGAACCACAGAGTTGCCAGCGGGTTCTTCCTCAGCGGGCTCGCTCTTCCTGCCTGGGAGCTGGGCCTGAGGGTTGCTGCCCCCTCGGGAGTGTCCTGACCACTGGCCCGGCCTGGCCCAGGCCCCACGGAGGCCCCATGGCAACGTGGGGCAGTCCAGTTACAAGTCCCTTTACAGGGCGGGAAACTGATGCCAAGGGAGAGGAAGTGGCTCCCAGGGGAGTCGGGGCGCAGGGCGGGGTCTGAGCCCAGCCCTGGGCTCTGGGTAGAGAGGGAGACACAGTGCAGGAGGGGCCCTGTGTGGGAGGAGAGGCGCCCCCACCCCGTGCTGAGCCCCTCGGAGGGTTCACGGTGGGATTTCAGTCGTGGACACGTTCGGAAACCCCCGTCTCCTCTCTGTGCCCGGGGACGCCAGCGTGGAGCCTGGGAGGAACTAGGGAGGGACCTCGGGTGCTGGGTGGTGACAGGGCCTGCTCTCGGGCAGCCTCCACGCACCAGGCAGCTGCAGAAACCTGCCCAGAGGCAGAGGTTGGTCTGGCCTGGAAAGCGATTGGAATCCAAATTCCCGCCCCCGGGGGTGGGCCTGGCCCGGGCTTGTCGGTGCAACCTGGCCCCCAGCTCCTCCCCCGCCCCCCAGCGCCCAGCTCTGCAGGCGCTCTGGGACTCTGAGGCCCCGGGATGTACGGCAGGGCCCAGCCAGGAGATGCCATTGCCCCCCATTTGCTATGACCTCGGGCAGGTGGCTGTGTGGGGCCAGAGGCCATCCTGGGCCCCGGTGGGCATCAGGCCCCAAGGTGTGCAGGACCCCTGATGCCTGACCCCAGGGAGCTCCTGGCCAGGGCAATAAGCCAATCAGCATCTCATCTCGGGAAGGTCTGGGGTAGTGGGTCGAATCCAGGTGGGTTCCCTCAGGACACATGGCAGCACTGGCTGTCATGACAGGGGAGAAGAGGGCGCTACTGGCCACTAGAGGGTGGAGACCAGGGGTGCTGGTTGGCGCCCCTCAGTGCCCAAGCCAGCCCCGCAGGGAGACATCCGCCCAGAATGCTGACTGCGTCGGTCCAGAGCTTTGAAGGGCGATGGCCCATCTGAAGGGGCTGTGGGTCGGGTGGTCAGGGAAGGCCTCTCCGAGGAGGAGACGTTGTCGCGCAGGCCTGGAAGGTCCGTCCCTTCATGCTGGTCATCCCAGTGCCCCGGCAGCCAGAGAAGAGGAGGACCAGGCGCTGGCTCTGCGGTGGGGGAGGGAGAGCAGGCAGGGATCTGGTGCCAGGCCTGCGGAATTCCAGAAGGCCAAGGCCTCCTCACCACCCCCCTCCCAGGCTCCTAGCTCCCAGGAGCCGCTGCCACATTCCTCCCCCTGGAGGTGGGCAGGGGCTGGGGTCTTGGTGCATTCCTGGTGGAGATACGGGGAGGCCCTGAAGGCAGCCTGCGCCAGCCTCCTGCGGGACCCAGATAACCTTTGTGCGGACTCTGCCCCACTCAGCTGCCCAAGGCTGGGGCCACAGGGCCTTGCTGAGGACGCTCAGGGTCAGCCATCGCGGGAGAGCAAGCATGTGGGCGCACGTCCAGCCAGGAGTAACCTGTCAGGAGGGGGAATGAGCACCCTGCAGATAAGGTCTGGACTTACCAGCCCAGCGCGGGCAGCAGGCAGAACCTCCTGACCCCTGAAGACCCCTGGCTGGTGGGGCCGTGTCGCCTCGGGGTCATAGTGCTGGGGACAGAGGAGTCCACACGGCCTTTCTGATCCCCAGTCTCCAGTCTGTAAGCTGGGCTTTTGTGAACATCAGGTGAGGGGCCTGCCCAGCGCTGGGCACAAGGCACCAGAAACAGCAGCTCCTTAAAGACCCACTGGGCATGTGGCCCCGGGAGGCACAGTGGCGCTGCGGTGCTGGGGCCGGGGACGAGGCAGGAAGTCACCATCAGCCCCTTCAGCTCAGGGGTCCAGAGAGGTTGTGCCTCCAACCTGAGGCCACAGAGCAAGCCTGGAGGCGAGAGGCAGCAGGAGGCTGGGCTCCAAGAGAGGGGCGGCTCTCAGCTCCGGGCCTCCGCCTCCCTCAGTACCACTTCCTAGAGGACCAGGCTCAGACCGCCAGACCCCCTTCGAGAACGAGATGGCTCCCAGGAGACCCTCCCACCAACCCCCGACGGCGAACCGTCCAGTCTTGTGTGTTTACATTCCTCTAGGAAATATTTCCCCAGGAGAGCCAAGGGACTAATGTTTTGTAAACGTTGAAACTCAGGCAAACAGAGACCTGGATCTCAGCCCACCCACCACCCCTGCTTTTCCACAGGGCAGAGGGGAGGCCCCAGCAGGGATCCTGGAGGGGATCCCCACCTCAGCTGGCCCACCCCGTCTTCCCTTCCAGCCAGAGCAGAGCTGCAGGGACAGGCCGGGTGAGGACTGGGCACAGCACGGGTGGTGCCCCGAACACTTCTGTATTTTCAAGGCCTCTTGTTAAGAAATTGGGGTGAAGTAGGTGGAAGTGGTTGGGGTGTCACTTGTATCTGAAACACTGGGGACCCTGGGGAAACCCCCAGTTGGGGCGGGCCGGGGTGAGGCCTGGTGCCCGAGCGGGCTTCACCCTCAGGCCTCCGAGGCAGGAGCCTACAGGCTGAGCTGCATGTGACCCCGGGGCCCAGGGCCCTAGGCAGAGGCAGGGTGGGCGGGGCCTGTGGTGTGTCTCGCTCCAGGCGGAGTCAGTCTCCTGCTTAGGGCTGGGTGTCTTGGGTTCACCGTGGCCCTAAACACAGGCCTCTGCCTCCGTGGTGCTCACAGAAAGCCCAGGGCCAGCGGGAGAGCAGCGCCACGGGCGCCTCCACGTCTCCACCGCCGGGCACCGCTCCCGCCTGAGCTGCGCCCGAACGCGTCTGTGACCTGCCCCTCCATACCTGGGAGGCCAGCGGCCCAGGTGCAGCCCGAGCTGCTGGCTCCTGGTCCCCGCAGCCTCTGCAGAGAGCCCGCCGCCCAGGCTTGCGCGTGTTGTGGCAGGTGCGGGCGGCGAGCCTCTTTTCAGCTAACACGCCACTGTGTGCTGGCTCAACCCTTCACCCGCTGACAGACTGCTGAGCTGCTTCCGCCCTTCGGCTGTTACGGACAATGCTGCCACAGACAGGGTTCGCGCGCTGGGAGCCTGGGAGCGGGAGCCCTGGGGATGCTGTGTTCCATCTTTGAGGAAGCATCACCCTGGCTTCTCCAGCAGCGGGGGAGGGGCCCGACTTCCCACGTCCTCGCCCACACTTGTCACTGCCTGGTGTTTTCACTCTGCTCAGCAGCCAGAGAGGAAGCTGTGGCTCTCAGGCTGCCCAAGAGGGACACTGGGTCTAGACACTGAGCCCTCTCCTTTCAGCCTGCCTGTCCCCACCCGGGGCCTCCTGGCCAGTGTGAAGGCGACAGGGCACAGGGGTCCCAGGGTCCAGCCACGATTGCCCAGCACCTGCTCAGCACAGGGCCTGGGATGCACAATAAATAATAAAATAAGATTAAATGAAATAAATGAGAATTTTAAATAGTTGTTGAATGAATGAAGGAAAAACATACAGCAGACTAGGGGCCCCTGGGGCCTCCAGAGCTGGGGTCTGCAGGGTGTGCCTACGGAGTGCGAGGTGGGAGAAAATTCCTCGTGGAAGGTGTGGCTCGGCTTGTGCAAAGTCCCTGCGGTGTGAGGGGGCACTTAGTGTTTGTAAGGAGGCCAGTGAAGCTGGAGTGCTGAGGGCTACAAGGAGCAAGCGGCTGCTGCAGGTGGGGCCAGGTGGGGCCAGGGGCAGGGACGGGCCCTCCAGTCTTGAGGCTGCTGGAGGGCTGAAGAGTTTCCCGCAGGGGCAACTGCACAGTTTGCCTCTGAAAAGCCACCTGAGGTGACAGAAGAGAAACCCCTCACCACAGCCGGGGCCCCAGCGGGGTGAGTCTCAGTGCTGGGCCAGCATCCAGGCCAGGTCTCCTGAGGGCCCCACCCCGTCCCCTCCTGCTCCTGCCAGCCCAGGGGGAGAGCTGGGCTGACCTGCAGAGGATGCACAGGGCAGGTGATGCCCCAGGCCTCCTGCCCAACCCGGCCCAGCCGCCTGATAGCCCTTGTCCCTCTGCTGTGTCCTGTCGGAGCCCACCCTGGACAGACAGCTGTCGACACCTCTCTGTGTAGGGCCCCTACCCTTCCTGGGGCAGACAGCCCTGGCAGGTAGGAAGTGGCTCTGTCACCACCACGGCTGCCTCCGTATCAGAAACAGATCCCTTCTCCAAGGGTCAGCGAGGTGCTGGCGGTGCTCTGAGGCCAGACGTGGGGACAGTGCCCAGGGCTCCCCGAGGAGCAGGGCTCGGCACACCCAGGGCAGCAGGTGTGGGGAGAGACAGAGAGAGAGAGGCAGAGGCAGAGAGAGAGAGACAGAGGTGAGAGAGAGACAGGGAAGTAGAGACAGAAAGAGACAGGGAGACAGAAAGACACAGAGACACAGAGACAGAGACAGGGAGAGCAGCCGGAGAGTGACAGCCCAGAGAGGGAGAGTTGGGAGACAGGGGAGGGCGACGGAGGGCAAGGGGGAGGGCCAGGGAGGGTGAGGCAGCGCGGGAGGCCCCTGGCCTGGCTATGGAGGGGTGCTGCTCTGAGGGAGCGGCTGATGCCAGGCCAGGCCTGCCCAGGGGTGGAGGCCACGTGCTGAGGGCCAGCAGGCCCGGCCGGTCAAGGCCTGAGCAGGGGCTGCTGGACCTCGGCCCCGCAGGCACGGAGTAGGGGGGCCATACCTGGTGTGGTTCCTGTGGTGCCGGGAGGGGCAGGCTGACCTGCAGTCTTGCTGCTCCTGCCAGGGTGACAGACCCGCAGGGCTCAAGGGAGCCTGCCTGCCCCACCAGGAGCTGCCAGTGAGCCCCTCTGCCGCAGGGCCCCTGACCGGGTGTCCCAGAGCTGCTGAGGGGCTCGGGCTAATGTGGCTCCCCTTAGAGGGCTGTGCGCCCAGGAGTGGGGGCGCCTTGCAGCCACTCCCAGCGGTTGGCTCCCGCAGCCCCGGCCCTGCCCTGCCCGTGGGATCGGATTCCTCCCGGGCAGTGAGGCCTCCTGGCCATATAAGGCCGTCCGCGGGCACTTCTTGCAGAAGCTGCAGAGCCCTCGCCCCCGCCCCACGCCCCAGGGGAGCCAGAGCTTGGCCAGGTCCCCAGGGATGGAGGCGGGGGAAGGGGCCTGCTGGGCATCAGTCCAGTGAAGGAGGAGGGCAGGGGCAAGCCAGGTCCCAGGATGCCACCCCCTCCCTCCATGCTGGGCACCCCTGCCCCTCAGTTGACTCCCCCAGGGCTGCCCATTGTGAAGTACAGAGCAGAGAGGTGGTGAGGAGTTGATGGTGGGGGTTGGGGAGCCCTGAGGGCCAAAGGTCAAATAGGATAAAAAAATGCCACTGTGGAGACGTCGGCTCCACAGACATCAGATGAGGACGCCGCAGTCCTGTGTGGAGGATGCAGCGACCAAGGTAAACTCAGTGGTCACTGCCTTCTTCTGAGGTCCCCCATGTGCTCCCCACAGATCTGAGATCAGAAGGCTGGACCCCCAACTTCACACCCCAGCAGGCTGCTGGGGGACACCCGGGTCTGGAGTCCTAAGAGCCATCTCATTACTGCAGCAGCCCCTCCCTTTACTCCCTGGGGATGGCTGGGTCTCCAGGGAGGTCCCAGGCCCCCACCCTGGGGTTCCCAGGACCACTTACCTCACCCACACCATTCCCTGAGGCTGGGGCCCGAGATTTGTGGCTGAGACTTGTCCCTCAGGCCAAGAGCTGAGTCCAGGGGGAGCATCTAGTGAGCCAGGGAGGGGTACTGTCTGGCAAGGATGCAGACATCTGGGCCCATCACAGGCTACCCCCTCCCTGCACCCTGCTTCCCCAACAGGGGCTGCCTCTCTAGAGCCTTGGCCAGGAAGGGGCACAGGATGGGGACAGGATTGGGACCATCGGGGCTCAGAGGCGGGGCTTCTTCCTGGGAACCCCGAGACTTCCTCTAAACTCGCCAAGTCACAGGGCCCTCTGACACCTGGAGGGACCTGCAGGAGGTAAGTCCGGGAGGCCGTTCCTGCCTGCAGTGGGCACTCTCTGGGTGCCTCCTCTTCACCAGACCTGAGGATATGGCCAAACAAACAGGCAGGACACAGGTCGGATGTAGTTTAATAAAATGAACGCACCCAATAGATCAGGCTGGGCACACACCTGCTGGCTCTGGGGAGATGCCTGGAGGTCCAGATGGTCAGAAAAAAGGGGCAAGGGCTCTGTTGTGTCCTGGGTGGAAGTAGTAAAGCCACTGTCCCCATGAGACAGATGGGGACAGCCTGGAGGGTCTGCTGACTGACCAGACAGGCAGGGCGTAGCTGGGAGGTTCCACGGGGCCTGGTGGGCTGCAGTGCTGGGTCTGGTTTTATCCTGAGACAAGCAGAGCCGTGTTTGGCCAGGGAGGAGGCAGTGGGCTGGGTGTGCTGCCCAGGGCCTAGCTGTTACCGTAAGGG